CATCGAGTCACTTGCGACTCATAGCGACCCTATGTACAACAGCCCTAAACTCTGCTCTGTCCTGTGCCAATCGCACTGTCTCCGACACTCCCATCCCGACTATCCATCCCAGTCACTGAATCAATCCACCTCATAGAGGGCCTTCCCCTCCTGTGCTGTCCCTCCACCCTCCTAAGCATGATGTCCCTCTCCAAGGACCAGTCTCTCCTCACATGTCCAAAGTATGTTAGACGGAGACTCATAGAATAAAAATTTTAAAAAAGAAAAAAAAAGGGCATGAATGTTCAACTCTAAGAGATGACAAGAAACAAACCTGGTAACGACAGGCAAATTTACAGTGACATTTGGTTCCTTAAATCTACCACTTGCCTTTTATTTATTGCAATCCCTTGTCAAGAAAGCTGTTTATACAAGCACAGGTATAACACGGGGCCAAAAAAAAGTACCAACTTTCTTATCTCTCGACTGAGTACCCATGACGTACAAATGCAAGGTCTTTCTGGAAAACTCTGCTGGTATCCTGGGCCTGTAATTGACAACCGTAATGGGCGTTTTTAGCTCCATTCCCTGGACTCTTTCTCACTTACTGGACTATGTTAAGGATATGTAAGGAGCCCTGGGAATATGATGAGTAAGAGTTGGATTGCTAACCAAGAGGTCAGTGGTCACTCCACAGTCTCTCTGCAGAGGAAAGGTAATGCTGCCTCCTGTGAAGAGTTACAGTCTCAGAAGCCTAGTGAGATCACCATGAGACAGAACAACTCAGTGACAGTGGATTTGGCTGGTTTGGTTTGATTTTTCAGGGCATAGAGATTATGTGATTTTCTTTATTACAAGTATCTCGTTTTATTCACCTCTGTAGCCCCACTGCCTATCACAGTACCTGGTACAAAGCAAAGGAAAGGGACGTGGATAAGATACTTAAGCAGAGACAAGGCTTTACTAAAAGCTTACTTAACTCAGGCCACATCATGATTTACTACACTTATTTTGTTGATCTTTATGAGAAGGCACTTTAAAATACAAAATGTTTCAAAATATTGACAAATTATTAGGACATGTCATGCATTTTAATTCCATTTTCAATTTTGTTTTGAAAATTTAAAGGGCAAGCCATCAAACGGAGGTTAAGAATATAGATGACACATGTTTAACTGCATCTCAAACACCTCAGAGTTTTGAAAATACCACCATTTAGACTATAATCATAATACGGTCTTAAGGTTTATATTCGTAACAGACCAAGTGGAACTTTTTTGTCGTCGTCGTATTATTCTATATCCTTAACTTTTAGCAAGACAGACTTGTGATTCCTATTTTTACTTCCGTAAGTACAAGTGTTCTATTACTGGTATGTCTGATACAGAATGTATATTGAAACTGATAATCTTTCTTCTCTTAAACAATTTCATTCTTTACTATTTCATGTTAAAAATGTGATTGAAAACCAGGTCCATTTTTTAATTAAAGTAGACATCCATAGCTTTGAACACATGGTGGCGCCAAGCAGTCGTAATTACACTGTGGGATGTGAAGTCAAGCAATGACATATTCTTCCGATCTGTCTTCATATTTTAGTAATATTTTTTAAGAAATCTCTTACTTACAGCCAAGTTATAAATATATCGCAAATAATCCTCCTCTCTCCCTCCCAGTACCTACTTTGACTACTCAAGCCAAATTCCCTTTGCCCTCAGCAGAATCTTAACTCATCAAGGTTCTTTGCCAGGTGAGATGACCCAAACTCTTCCTTCAAATAAAGTTGTATTTCCCAGAAACAAGGATATTGTTCTACATGAATTAGGAATACAAATATGAGGAGTATATCAATACCATCTTACCCTCATTCAAGTTTTTCGAATTACCTTAATCATGAGGTTTGTAGTAAAAAAATTCTGTTAAGAATTTCTTGGCCTCTTTAACCCCCTTGTCGTGTTTCCCCCCATTTACATGGCTTACAAAGATTATAAGCCATGTATTTTATACAGCATTCCTTATTTTGATTTGTTTGGTTTTCCCTCATGTTAAATTCAAGTTGCTCACCTTTAGGGGAGAAAATCCAGAACAGTGGTACTGTTCTCTCTGTTCTCTTTACAACTTCTGAGGTGATACTTGAGTGTTTTATTTATTCGATATTGATGTCATATAGATCAGTTGTGATGTCTGTAATTTCATCTCTGGGGAGTTAGTTGGGTTTTGTTGTTGTTATTGTTTCACTTTGCTGTTGAGTATTTTGCATAGAAATACTTTAACGTTATGTAAGTCTCTTCATCAGACTTTCCATTTATGTACTCATTTGTTTTTATCAGCGTATTGACGTGTGGTTTCCCATTCTAGTCCACAAGTTACTAACTATTACGTTCATCATTTGCTTTTAATCCTGAAATTATTCCATGTTTAGCCAGTAAGAGCCCTTTCACAATGACTACCAGGTCTCTGTATGTAATGAGTACATCTGGCTGGCCTACTTCTAGCAGAAAATGGCACATACTGCCTTTCCAGATAGAAGATGATGAGAGAAGGATGGTCAGTCTCCTCCCAAGTGATTAACTGCCTCTGAAAACCCACTAGAAGGTCAGCTATGGGTCATTTGCGACCCAACAACAAACCCCTGGCTGTTTTCCACACCCTTAAAGTTCCTGTTGTGTCCTGTAAATGGGGCCTGGCCAAGTCTGATCTGCTCTGCCGTGAGTCTTTACTGTTCAGCTAGCCTATCTTGGTCAGTAGGATCTAGGAAAGAGTTGATACACTGGGATTTATTTTGCCCTATCAGGGATCCCCTATGGAGAGTTCCAGAACTCAATCCTGGAACCATCACACTTTTGGGTAGTATATAATAAAGAATTTGGGGGAGGGGAGAAAAAGACTGGAGAAGACACATTAATAGCCTGTGATATGCAGATGATACAACCTTGCTTCCTGAAACAGAAGAAAACCTGAAGCACTTGCTGTAAAAGGTCAAGGACTATAGACTTCCAATATGGCTTAAAACTCAACATCAGGAAGACAAAGATTCTCACCACTGGGCTATGGACAGCACCGTGATAGAAGGAGAAAAGATTGAGATTGTTAGCAATTACAGCTTGCTCAGCTCCACAATGAACACTCTTAACACCAGCACTAAGGAAATCAAAAGACGAATTGCATTGGAAAATTCTGCTGTCATGGGCCTCTCCAGAGTGCTGAAAAGCAACTATGTCAGTCTAGAGACTAAGGTGCGCTTAATCCAGGCCATGGTCTTTGAAATTGTTTGTTTTGCTTCAAAGAGCTGGACAGTGAGTAAGAATGACAAGAGAATAATTGTTGCCTTCGAGTTGTGGTGCTGGAGAAGAGCCTTAAACATACCATGGACTGCGAAGAAAACAAATAGTTCTGTCTTGAAGGAGGTGAAACCAAGTTTCTCTTTGTAGGCTAGGATTTTGAAGCTCTGTCTCACATACTGTAGGCATTGGGCCAGGACATCACGCTTCAAAAGGTGGAGAGACATTGCAGGAGAGGAAGACCCCAGAGGAGATGGATTGATACAGTATCTGAGGCAATGGGGGTTGATGTGTCTGAATTAGTGAGACTGGCTCGGGACAGGGAAGGGTTCAAAGCTGCTATCCATACGGTCACTATGGGTTGCAGGTGGCTCAACGGCACATAACAACAACTATAATTTTCCTAGGAACTTTTTTGCTTTTGAGCATAACAAACAGTGTGTTCTAAGTTTATCTTGTAATTCTCTGCCTTATCGCCAGAATCAAATAGTTCTTCAAGTCCTGGTTCCTTTTAGAAACCAAGGCCTGGATGCTCATTCCTCTTTGGATATTTGGATATTGCTGCATGTAGGTCTTCTCAGTGGCTATGTTAGAGTGTGTATATGTGTCTTTGTGTGTATGTATGTCTGAGAGAGTGTGTATACACTAATATTACTAAGCTACATCCACATCAGTATCATGAGTTCCAATTACACAATGTAGGGTATATTCTACTTTCTACCGTTCCGTATGTATAACCCTCTTTTCCAAGATCTTGAGGGCCCTTGCTTATTTGTTTAATCTCCCTGAATTAATCTGTCTTGTTGCTTCCCTGTTCTCTCTGTGGATACTCTTGTCATCTGATTTAGACATTGATAATTCTCCAGCCGGGCTGCCCCTGTGTATAGACTGACTTCTCACCCTGCTTGATCGCCCGCTTGTTCTCCTGGACACCCCTCATTGTAGATGCCCTCCTCACCTGTTCAGGTACTGACATCGCACAGCAGGACACTCCTCTTCAGAGAATCATCTTGCTCTGTCCACATGATGATCTTAGTACTGAACAGCTCAGGAAGGAGAAAGTTGAGCAGTGAAAGGAACATTTTTTTCCTGATACTCTGAATTCATTTTTAATTATTCTTGCAATCTACCAAGCAGTTCAAAACTAGGATAATAGATAGATTCCCTGAACTTTGTTTCATTAAAAACCAGGGAAAAAAAAAATAATGAATGAGCCTTACTCTTTTGAACATCAGTAGAACTGCTATATTCTTGTCCTTCTGGCCCTAATTAGATCAGAGATGTTAATAAATCTTGGGCAAATTTATGTGTCTCGGGTACCTCATCTATAAAATGAGTGTCTTCTGTCATATTCTTATCCTGTGGCATTTGTAGGGAAGATTGTCCTTAAGGACCCTAGGATTCCTCTTGGGTTTTATGTTTTCATTTCTTGATTGAACAGGAAAAATTAAATGGAGATGATATTTAAATTAGAATTTTTACTTTTTCTAGAGGCATTATAGTTTTGAGATTGAGTAAGTAATTTTAAAAGAAAAGAATGCCTATATTGTACTTTTTAAAATCTGTAACGTATATGAGGTACATAGATGTTAACATGTATACACCTCAAGCCAGATAAGTTCTAAGGAAAGAAACTTCTGATAAAGTCGTGGTGGGAAAGATATGTCAGGGGTGGGAGCAGGCCCATGTAGGGGGCAGGCTGAAGAAGATGTAACACTGGACTCTGATGTTTTTCTACAGCACAGATTATTCATACCTGTTATTTAATGTGATCTCTTTGGTCATTCTGTGGAGTAAGGCAAGTATTTCCTTTTAACAGATAAGAAAATTGCAACTTCACATTGTTACACAATTAGTGACTGAACATAAACTCTACTCTGATTCTCCAAACTCCTAGCTCAAGACATTCTCCCTTTGCTAGCCAAAGACTTGGACCATTGAGCTCTTATTCCAACCATATGTTTATGAGAAGGTGGAGCTCGGAGGAAAGGAATGTTTTCATCTTTCAGGGTTCCCATTTAATTGATAGGATTTATGGAAGGCAATTTATCTTTGGATTCCACATTCTTCTTAACACGTTGCCGCAAATGACAGTAATATATCGAAAAAATGTGTTTCTAAGCATGGTATCCATTTAAAAGTGGGTGGCAACATGTTAAGGACATTTATTCTGGAGTTCTTTTTAGAATTTGAAGGATAGGCTCAGCTGCTGTTTGATAAAGAATGACAGAACAGTTTGGTTCCTTGTGGGCATGAGAGAGGTTTAGACTAATTTTTCCATTCATCAGTCTACTTATTGTATGCCACGGAGTTCTCTAGATCTATACAGTGATAATGAGATTCACTAACTCCAAGTAATCTTTATAGTCTAGTGGAGGAACTATAAATAAATAATTAGAAGGAAATGTAAGAATTATAGTTAAGTACCTGTAAGGCGCAACTATTGTAAACCCATTAAGGAAACATAGTGTTTCATTTGCCTTTGTATATCTAATAGGAAACCTAACTCATTGCTCCAAAATGCTGAACTGGATAGGAGGTCTGCACTGGGAGAAGAAATACATACATGACTTACTGGGAAAATTAGGGACTGTTTCTCAGAAGGTAGAGCTGAGAACGAGAAAGATTTTTTTTTTTTTCGTAAAGGGAATTCCACGAAAAGGAAACAACATGTATAAAAGGCACAGAGGCTTGAAAATGTTGGTATGCTTGGGGAGTTCCAAATTATTACTGGAATATGAAGTGTGAACAGGGAAGAACTGAAGCCAGACTTGTAGACAGAGAATGAAACATAAATGCCTTGTCTGCCATGCCAAGAAGTTTCAACTTTGTCCCATAGGTAGTGGGGCATCACTGAAGAATGATGTATACTGCTTTCCTCAGTTCCAGAGCACGCTATAATGAAGACATAAAACATAGCCAGACTAAGTAAATGGTGAGCACCCTAGGGCCTTAGTGTGGTAAGGAGTTGGGCTGCCAACCCAAAGGCATGTGGGTCGAATCCACCAGCAATACTGTGAGAGAAAGATGGGCGGGCAGTCTCCTTACTTGGGATTCACTGTTTCTTTTTTTTTCTTTTTTTCTATAATTATATTTTATTAATTTTCATAAACATTTACAGAGATTTTGGGCTTCCACTCATTCATTGTTGCACTATTCTCTCTGCCCTCCTCCCAGTTTGTTCTTGTCCAAATGCCACAGTGCTTGTCAAAGCCAGTTCTGATTAATCTTCTTTGTCAGTGTATCCTTTGCCATTCCCTATCACTCCTCCCTGAGAGAGACTTCACCCTGAGTCATAAGGAAAAGGGGATGGCGTATTCTCTTAGCTACTTCCTGCTGAAAAGGGACGCTGTGGGTTTCAGGGTGAAGATCTTCTCTCACTACTCTAAAGGGCCCCTTTGGCAGTAGGAAACACATAGACTGTTATGGAGATTGATTTTGGAATTTAGATGCACTCTTATTGATTGTGCTTGGCTGTACATGTTCATATCCTTGAAGATGTATCATGGGGGTGTTGCAACCTAGAAGACACAATTTTGACTAACAAGTTATAAGTACATGAGTCCAAAAATTATGGAAAAGTAAAAGAAAAGATTCTTTCATTGTTTTACAAACCCTCCCCCAGGTCCCCTCCACCATGTAGCCCTCGCTCTAGTCTCCTGTGATGACAGAAATACCCAGTTATATCTCTCTTTTGAACAGTTCTCTCCCTCCTCTGTTTCAGTGCAGTATACATTATTGAACCCATCTTACTCAGTCTCTCCCCAACCCCAAGGACAGTCCCATTCTACAACAGTGGCATCATGTAATATTTGTCCTTTTGTGACTGGGATATTTCACTCAGCATAATGTTCTCCAGAGTCAACCATTTTGAATAATATTGCATGAGTTCCTTGGTTTTTAATGCAGCATAGTATTCCATTGTGCGAATATACCACAGCTTCTCTAGCCATTCGTTTGTTGATGGGCACTTAGGTTGTTTCCAACTCCTTGCTATTGTGAACAAAGCTGCAATAAACATGGGTGTGCATATATCTGCTTGGATGTCAGCTATGGTCTCTTCAGGGTATATTCCCAGTAGTGGAATTGCTGGGTCAAATAGTATCTCTATTTGCAACTTTTTGAGAAAGCGCCATACTGCTTTCCACAGGGGTTGCACCATTTTACACTCCCACCAACAGTGAATCAGGGTTCCAGTTTCTCCACAACATCGCCAGCATTTGTTGCTTGCTGTTCTGTTAAATTTTGCTATTTTGACTGGGGTGAAATGATATCTCATAGTTGTTTTAATTTGCATCTCTCACTCACCTGAAGGTCAGCTGTGTGTCAGTTCTGATTCAGTGGTACCTACGACAACAGCAAGTGAATGAATGATAATGATATTTGTATACAATTTCAAAATTTGCAATAGCTTTTTTTACCATCCATTACCTCATTAAATCTTCACAGTATCTTTCAAAGTGCAGTTATTTTCCATATAGTACAAATGACAAAATTAAATCTTTGAAAGGTTCATTTCTTATCCATTCAACTCAGGCCCTGATTTAGGTAGTGGAGAAACAGTGATAAACAAAACAAATTTGCTTTTTTCATAATTTATATTCTTCTGGGTTGATGTGCCCAGGCTCACATTGCTAAAAAGTTAAGCTAGAATTTAACACAGACACTCTGATTGAAAAGCCCATCCTTTTTCTACTGTACTTTACTGTTGTGAAAATAATCGACTAGTCAGTGAAAATGTCATTGAGTACATTTGGCAGCAGAAGTGCTCGTAGCTATACCAGTTGCACCCTGTCCTCCTAGTTTGCCCAGTCTACTAAATGGTGTCGTGGAGCAGTTGATCCAAGTATAGACCTTGTTCTTTGAGAATCCTGGTTGTATTCCACTCTCTTTAGTACCTTGTTTGCCCTAGAATCCACTTGTATGGATTTTTTTAAAATGCATGACTAACAACAACAAAGAAACACAAAACTTTATTTTTAAATAGAAAAAAAAATAGTGGGTTAATTGTCAAATTTCATTTAGACATTTTAGAAATGCTTCTAGCAGTTTCAATATGGCTAATTGATACTGTTTGTTATATCTGTAGCAATATCTTGATGATAACACTGCAGAAGCCATAGCTTTTCGGAAGAGTGCAAAGGAATTATTGCAGCTAGCAGCCAAAACTTTAAAGAAATTGGGAGTTCGATTCTGGCTGAGCAGTGGCACTTGTCTGGGTAAAATTCTTGTTATTTTTTTACTTGTCTTTTTTATTTTCTTTTTTACTATAGGGATAGTTGCTTGAAATGAGAAAATATCAGCGTTATTCAAAGTGTTCTATCTATAGACAGATTAAGCGTTGGTGGATTGGGCAAGAATTTATTGATTTCTTAAATTCACTTCAGAGACAAAGTTAAGAATGTCGTATTTGTGCTTATAAGAAACTGCAAGTTATATATATAAGTTTTATCAGATCATATAGATTATCATCAATTCTCAAGTAATCCTTAGATTAGCATTTTATTCCAAATATTATTGCTTTTAAACAAGAGTAACAACAACTCTATACTATTTATTTATACTCCATTCAAGTTATTTGTACTACATTAACAGTTTCTACTGAGAGGAAGGTTGAAAGAAATGTCCAAAGGTTTTATATAAAGCAGTCAATGATAGCATCACTGATTTGCTTTACCACCATCTGCTATGTATAGGAGCAGTCTTTCTGTAGTTCTCATATATGCTACTATTGAAGGAAAATTTGGGCTTTCTGGATTCCCATTTGTTGCACTTCAGAAATTTAAAAAGATAAACTTTTTTATAATTTAGAATCTTGACATTTTTTTGTATTTGTGGTTTTTTCTCATATATATATATATTTCTTATTTTTAAATTCTTTTTTGTGCATGTACCATCAAATCGTATCTGACTGGTACAGGAGGAGATTGCCCCTCCTCCAGCAGAGCATTTGGTGGATTTGAATCATGCCACTCTGGGATTGCAGTGCAGCTTCTTGCCAGTAGGCCACCAGAGCTCCCTAGTAACTATATTTCTAGGACAATTAATCCAGCTCCTGCTTTTATAGGATGTTATTGTTGTTATGTGCCATCGAGTCGCTTGCGACTCATAACGACCCTATGTACAACAGCCCTAAACCCTGCTCTATCCTGTGCCAACCTCACTGCCTCTGACACATCCATCCCGATTACCCCAGTCACTGAATCGATCCATCTCATAGAGGGTCTTCCCCTCCTGCGCTGTCCCTCCACTCTGCCGAGCATGATGTCCCTCTCCAAAGACCTGTCTCTCCTTACAACATGTCCAAAGTATGTCAGGCGAAGCCCCAGAATAGATCACATATTTTCTAAGTCAGGATGTTTGAGAGTCAAAGTGAATAGTATTAATAATTATGTTGGCTTGTTATTATTAGGTGCCATCGAGTAGACTGTGAACAATGGATCTGAACCTTGCCCTCAACCCTGTACCATCCTTATCATTTCTTCATAGAAAACATAAACTAGATATATGGCTATCCTGTCTTTTAGATATAAGAATTCACATGTTTTGTCCTGTCATGGAGTCTACAGCTATCATAAGCTGTAGTAAAAAAGAATACATCTTGTGCATTTATATAATGAATACTTTAGGGTTTAACTTTTTAGAAGCAAGATTATTTTATAGTCACTGTCATCAATATTTCTTAATAATGTGTCATGAATAATTTTGAATTTTTATCCCCTTGTTTTTCTTGATTTAAAGAAATAAAATAATTATATTTGTATTATACAATATTAATACTCTCTATTTTTAATTATGTGTTTTTTATGCAATGCATCAACAAATCAGCCACTACGTATCTGCACATTTTTCTCTCAAACTAAAGCTGGGGCCCCATCTTAGTCTTCTTTAAGATGTATTATTACTATTTTAAAATGAAAGAATTTGGAATTCCAAACGGTATTACTCTATGCCAGTGCTAATAAAACGAGTTATAGACATTTCTGTTTTGTAAAGAATGCTTACATTTACAGAAAAATTGTCCAAGAGGAACAGAGTTCTTATGTGTCACTTCTCCCCCCCCCCCCATACAGATTTTGTTTTCTAGGACATGTGCTACAATTTACAATTGATGGATCAGTACCATTGCATTATTATTGATAAATTCAAGGCTTAAATTACAGTTTACTCTTTGTGTAGTGTAGAATTATGGGTTTTGTCAATGTCTAATATCATGTGTCTTATATTATACAGAACATTTTCACTCCCCTAAAATATGCTCTCTCTCCCCTCGATTTATTGACTTTTTCAATTATTAAGACAGAAGAATTATGGCATAAATTTTATTTTTGTAGAGTAATAGTATACCACCTAATTGAGGAGATATCTAGTAAACACTTAGAAATATATTTTGAGAATATATTGGGAAGTTAAGGCTGTTACTGCTTTTTCATATGACCTAGGAGACATGAACTACCCAGAGCTGTATGGTTCTAAAACTTGCTTCCAAGAAAAGGTAATTTTATAAACTAAAGAATTAAATTCTGTTTATTAGTGTGTCTTAAGGCATCTTCCATCTTTTGAGGTTAATGACTAAACAATCTCCATAGTATTGTAAAGTTTTTAAATGGATAGCCCAGTTAATGTTATTAAAGGAGATACTTTTTTCACAAATTGAAATTCATCATCCATTTTTTTTTTTGGAAGCTGAGAGCTCAAACAAGTAAAAAAGAAATACATAAATATGTTAGTAATTTAACTTTTAAAAAAATAGTTTTGGTATTGCACCATGAGTCTAATCTTAAGAAATAAAAATCTATGTTTAAAAGATCATCTGTTGAGCTCTGGTGGCCTAGTGGCAAGAAGCTGTACTGCAATCTGAGAGGTGAGCGGTTCGAATCCACTAGATGCTCTGCTGGAGAAGGAGGAACAGTCTCCTCCTGTACCAGTCAAATCTGATTGGATGGTACACACACACACAAATAATTT